GTGTAACTAGGGTTTGGGTGGAGCCGAGAGCTCTCTTGATTGTGTCGAGAGCTTGCTTTTACTCTACATTCCAACTAAACGATGCCTTTTCCTTAAGTAAAGGTTTGAATGGCATGGTAACCTCGGAAAAGGGCTAGAATGAATCATCGTAGGTAGGACACCTTCCCAAGGAAACTCGTCAACTGCTTCTAGCTTCTAGGCTCGGGTATGTTCTGGATAGTCTTTATCTTTCCCGTATTTGGATCTATGTCATGCCGATGTACCAAGAAGCCAGGAAATTTCCCTACTATTACCCCAAAGGCACATTTTAGGGGGTCATGCATAGGTTATATTTTTGGCACCTTTCAAATACTCTTTGCAAGTCTACCACATGGTCCTCCTCCTTCCGCGATTTTACAACAAGGTCATCAACATAGTCTTTGAAAATGTCATACATCATATCATGAAAAATCATTACTACAACACGTTGATAGGTCGCACCTGTATTTTTTAGCCCAAAAGGCATTACTGTATAGTAGAAGTTATTGAAGGGGGTCCTAAAAGCATTCTTTTTTGCATCCTCCTCGGCTGTTTTGATTTGATTGTACCCCACAAACCCATCCATGAAAGACGTCATCTCATGCCCCGAGGTAGCGTTGATGAGGGTGTCGACATTTGGCATTAGGAACTCATCTTTCGGGCATGTATTGTTCAAGTCCCTAAAATTTACACATATCCTGATGACCCCATTCTTTTTCTTGATGCAGACTATGTTCGACAATCACACATGGTGCTGGATAGGCTTGGTGAAGGTAACCTGTAATAGCTTTTTCAGCTCTTCCTTGATTTTTATCATCACCTCGAGGGCATTGTTTCGTGAGTGTTGTTTGATAGCTTATATAAGGGCCGGATGTTCAGCTTGTGATAGACCAAGCTTGGGTTCAATTCAGGCGTCTCCTCATATTTTCATGCAAAAACATTGACATATTCTATCAACAGTGCCAAAAATGTCTGCCTCTTTTCTAGGGATTGTTCTTTGCAGATGAAGACTAGCTGTAGTGATTCCCTAGGTGGAGTGAGGTTTATTTCCTTGAGCACATGCTCCTACGTTTTAGGGTGATCCTCTATGCATTCTAGTATAGGGACCGCATTAGTTGGCATCGCGGTGATGATGGTCTCTGCTTCATGCACCTCGTCTCGGGGATTCACCCTCCTAGTCTCGCAGATGGTCCCCCCACACCATCATAACTGGTAAGTGACTCACCCGTTAGGTAGGACACTACGAATACATCTTTTTGGAGTGCGAGGACTCTTCAACTTGCCTTTTTCCTTGGGTTTGTTCTCTGAGCCTTTCTTTCACACTAACATAGACTTCTGGTTGGACTTCTTCCAAGGAAGGAATAGGGAATGACAAGGGCCACTGTAGCAAACTTGCGGCCTTGCCATCTTCAACTACATCATCCTATAGTGCTTCCTTTGCCAAGTGGGCCTTATTGTTGCTAAAAGGGTTCTCGGTCACGGGTATCATCACTTCCTTTACATTCCAAATCATCTTCATGCATTGGTGGTATGTAGAAAGGACCACCCTTAGATCATTCATCCAAGTGTGCCCAAGGAGCACATGATAGGTCGTAGGAGCATTGATCACGTGGAAGGTCGAGGGTACCCTCACCTTTCCCATAAACAAGGAGACGGTAACATAACCGAGGGTCCTTCTCTTGTCGCTGGTGAACCTAGTGATGATGTCATTTTTTAAATGAAACTTGACTCGCGGAGTTCAAGTTGCTCGTATGTGGACAGAGGCCTGACATTCACTAAGGCCCCATTGTCTAGAAAAGTCCTTTTCAACTATACCCCATTGATCTTGGTAGTGTCATAAGGCAATTGTGCTTCTAGGCTAATTGGTGATCCCCCTCCTTGAAGGTGATGGCATTAGACCTTTGCTTGATACTACGAGACATTGAGCCTTCCACGGCCATGCACTTCTCGGGGTCTGAGGGCCCCTCAGCACATAAGTCCATGATGGCCTTGGTAACTGCCAATCTGGTACCATTAAGTCCCAAATGATTAAACAAATTCTTGAACTTGATTGTTTCCTTCATGATCCGCGTACTCACCTCATGGCAAACTTCCAAGGTCTCTCGACTTAATTGAATTTTGGGCCACTCTTTGAAGTTGCCTTTCGCTATATCCTTAATTTCGTCATAAAATGATACCATGTGCACCTCCTTACCTTTTTCGCAGATATTGCCCCCGGCGCCCGTTAATACCAATTCTCCACTCTTTAAGCACTTCTAAAACATTTGGTGCACGGTCCAACAGTCCTTGAGGTTGTGCTTGGTGTGGCGACGAAAGTCACAAAAGGTCAGGCTATTTTTCTTTTCTCTAGTTGGATCCCTTTCCATTGGCGATAGCTCGACATCATCATTCTTGATCCATTCCGTGATAATTTGTCGGACTTACTTCATGCCACAAGGATATGGAGGTGGGTCCTTAGGCTTGGAGCTCTTCCTTGCTTATTTGGACGTTGCCTCCCCTTCGGGACCTCCTCGACAATTATAACAGTTCCTCCTTCCCTCTTGTTCTTCCAACCGACTATCTTGAAGAAGGGCTGAACCACCTTTGAGAGCCTTTGAGCAGACTCACATAGCCTAGTTAAGGTTTTGAATTTACTATTCACCAAGTATGCCTTGTATTTGTTGTGTATTCCGTCGATGAAGATTTAAATAAGGGCCTCTTCGGTGACATTTTCTTGGCACTCAATGGCTTTGTTGTGAAACTTGTCAATGTATGTCATCAGGGCTTCTCTGTCATCCTGAATGGTCTTTGTCGGGGAAAGTAATGTCGTACATTGTTCAACATGGAAGAACTTTGTGTAGAATTGTGCAACCAAGTTGTCTCAGTCCCTAACCGATTCTTTCGAGAGGTTAACATACCAGGTGAAGGCCCTATCATTGAGGGACTTGGAGAATTCCTTCATCCTAAGAAGATCGTGGAGCACATAGTGGCCAAGGCTATCAAGATAACGAGTAATGTGCTCATGAGGGTTGCCATTATTTCCACCAAAATTCAGCAACGAGTACCCCATAGGATACATAGCTTGTTGCACAGCGAGGGTAAACTTGGACCTTATGTCCATGGTTGTTGGCATAGGCTCCTTCTATCTATCTAGTAGTGCCTGGACTTGGTCCAACACGACAAACCCAGCACTGGGCACTAGCTGTTCTGTGCTAGCCTAGTATGGTGTCTAAGTGGTTGCAGATGGAAATGAGGTGGTGGCGACGGGAGCTGGAAATGCTGAGGCATGGTTATGGAAATAGTGGAAAAAAAAATTTGACCCTACACTTGGGTAGTTGTCAGTGCCATTATAGAAATGGTAAAAAGGGTCATTTGGGAAGCTATGAGGCCATAGTTGTAGCCAATCATAGCGTAGCCACATCTGAGAGTCGTTGGAAAGTTTAGGAGATATGCCTTAGTCATGGTTGCAAGTCTAGCTACATTGGGTACCTCAGGGATTGTGACATTTTGAGGGCCTGATATAGCTGCCTACTATAGGAGAGTTAAAAAGCCAATTGCAGTAGTTTGCTGCAAAAGTGCTAGAGGACCGCCTGTGGTAGTTTGCTGTGAGGGAACTAGGGGGTTAGTTGTATCAATTTGTAGCGAAAGTGGTAGGGGTTTACTGTCAGGATTTGCACTGTTAAACCAAAAGGGCTTGACTTCTGTGATACACCATTATCACCTGATATTGTCATTGGAGAGTATGCAGGCAAAGCTGAAGGTGGTGGTATCGGGTACTACAAGAGCAATGGCAAGAACATCAATGGGTTTTGCAATCCAGGTGGTCAGAAATACATTTGAGCTTGCATCATCTACACTGCCGCAGTCATCTATTGTTATAGAGTTTGCATATCATGTAGAGCCTGTGCCATTATGGAGGGCCCTGGCACCTCCGGAGCCTTTCGACTTTTAGAGGACCCATGGCTATCCTCGCATTGGGCCAGGTTTTTTTGCTGCTAGTCTTCCTTGTCATTGTTGTTTCTAATTTTTGTATTAGACAATACCCTTCCACTCTGAGTTATAGCAGACATAGGCTAGTGAGGGCAAACCTTCCTAGTAGAGTCACCAAAAGAATGCAGGTGGGGAGTTAAAAGAGGCTATCACACGTGTGTATGCCAATGATAATCGAAGGGGATAAGTAGGATAAACAGATGAGATGGAAGGAAATCGAGTAGCCTATTAACAAAGGGATGAACAGATTAGGCAGAGGATGTGTGAAAATACTCTCACTAGCCAAAAAAATCACCATCCACCATGGGCAAGTAATATGGGTATTTATAGCATAGTGCTAGGGTAGGGTGGACTACCCGTCGCGACCTCTACCACTCGCATGAACCCACAACTTCCCCAATTGTGACGATACCAGTGGTCGTTAATCACGACCCACATGTCCTAACATTAACTAGGTAGATGTGATGTTGCCCCAAATGTGACCTAGACGTGGCTTCGAGTAAGGTGCGACAGCCAAGGTGAGAGAAGCCACCCAAGATCCTTGACCACGACTGGTCGCTACAGGACCTTGACCTCGAGAGGTCCATATCCGTGATGCCCCTAGTGCGCTCCTACCCGGGGTCCTTATTTCGCTCTCTGGACCCTTCCTCAAGACCTTTGTCGAGGTGCTGGATAGAGAAAACCCATACAATTTCGGTCCTTCAGCCACTAATCCACATGTCTCATTATCTCATATGTTGATCCGAACCAATAACCCAAGTTTCCTTAGGAATACCTCCGGATCCTATTCAAGCACATCCTAGTGGGCAGTGAGTCATACACTTGGAGCCTACTCTAGTATACTAAACCTTCGAGACCTTGCCCCAAGCTGTGGTTGACAATCGTGCTCGTCTGCCTCCGTTGCTCAGTTCTCCCTTAAGGAAGGTCATACTCCCCTGTCCTTAGGTGGGGACACCTCTTCTTAGTCCAATGGGCTAGTCGAGCAACAATGTCCAATAGATTGAGGATACTACTCCCGCAGTGGGGGAGGTGAGTCTCGCCGACGTTGCCCTCATATTTCTGCGAGTCCACTTTTGTCCACCCTTGGTAAAAGGGCCATGTTGTCACTTCCAATGTGATGGAGATGTATCTCACCTTGTTGCAGTGTTGTGCCCCTGGATCATCGAACATGGGTGTCGTGCTTGAGGGGGTTGCACCTTGGGTGCTCCGCTTGGGAGCGTCGCACATGGGGTATCGCATCTAGGGGTGTCTTACCTTAGTTTCTATGCCTAGGGGCATCGCACCTTGGGTGTCATGCTTGGGGGGGTCACACCTTAGTTGTCATGTCTGGGGTGTCGCACCCTGATACTGTTATCCATACTAATCCCACTAGACCTTGTCGGCCCCACTTCCATATTAACTAATAATTGTTATCACTTGTCCTATTATGGAGTAGACCCGTGTCTTGAATTTATTGGATACTACAAGGACTATTTGCCCACGTTGTTTGTTCAATCAAATTTTATAAACAAGATATCAACTTGAGTATGAGATTAGAGATACACGTCAAGTTCATAGGAATATACAGAAGTTCTACTCAGTTATGATTGATATTGAGATCAACTAGTACTTATTAAACTAGATGAACTAAATATTAACTAGGTATATCACACCTTTAGAAAGGAGTAAAGGTTAGTTCAATTTCGAGGGACTTCAATTCTCGATCGTCATTCGCTACCTTTAATTGACACAGTAGTGAATGAGCTTCTAGCTAAAGAGGTTTGTCTAAAGACTTTTTTTTGGAAAAAGGTATTCTTCCATTGTCTAATCAGACTGTACTACCTATACCACCAAGGTGACTTCTACTTAGGGGTGTCCATGGGCTGGGTTACCCTAGGGTCCCATTACCCGACTCAAAAAAAATAGGCCCGAAGCCCGATAGTTGGCCCGCACGAGCTCGAGCCCAATATCCTTTAAGAAAGGGCTTGAATTTATCCCTAAATCCATTACCCGACCCGAAGCCTGGCCCAATAACCCACTCAAATACCTGGCCTAATAACCTACACACATACCTGAAGCCTGAAGCCTGCCCAAAGCCCACACCCGCCCATATATATATATATATATATATATATATATATATATATATATATATATATATATATATATATATATATATATATATATATATATATATATATATATGTTTATGTTAAGAGGTGGAGACTTTTGTTCAAAAAAAAAAAAAAAAGAGTTGGAGACTTGAATGAATGGTAGGTGAGACTTGAATGGTAGGTGGTAGATGAGACTTTAATTTTGGTTGGTGAGAGTGTGACTGGCTGTCTCAGACTCATAGCCTCATAGGACTGTGGCAATGCATTGTCTTTTCAGTCTATGAGAGAGATAGCATAAATTTTTAAATTTCAATATTTTCAATTGTACTGCCAACGGCTGAGACAGACAATCATAAATTGAGCAACGGTCGACTATTTTTTAATGTATAATTTATAAATAAACGGCTAACTTCATTTCATCCCACTCAATCATTTGCTCACATTTCATTGCAAAAAAAAAATTAAAAAAACTCTCATTCTCTGAACTCACAAGTGTTCTAAAGTCTTAAAATCTCAACTCTCAAGTGTTCAACTGTCTCAAGTACTCAAGATTGTCAAGTGGCCTCATTTGGTGAGAAAGGTTTTTTTACATAATTTAAGTATTTATTTTTATTTTTATAGTTTAATTTACATAATGACTTCATCTCATTCACAAAATATTTTTTATAACGAAATTCTTGAGTCGAATAATGATAATGAGAACATCGATGAGAGTGAAGAGAATGATCCACTTTCAACGCCTGAGATGGATTCCACTGGGAATGTAATATCTAATAAAAGACAAAAGTCCAAGGCCTGGAATCACTTTGAGAAAATCAAAATTAAGAATTCTAATGGGGTCATTACATCAGAAAAGGATATATGTAATTATTGTAAAAAAGATTTTGTTGTAGGCTCTAAAAATAGAACTAGTCACTTAACTAGACACCTAAAGACATGCCTATTAAGAGGTCAAATTGATATTAGACAAACAATGTTATCACAATTTGTTAGCACCGGTACACTCAACACTTTTAGTTATGAACCTTAATCTGCTAGAAAAGTAATTGTTAGATGGATTGTTATAAGAAATCTTCCATTTGTTCTTGTAGACGATGCTGAATTTGAAAAAATATTACAAAGTGGTTTTAATCCTTCCTTTCGATAGTTTTCTCATCAAACATGTCAAAGAGATGTTATTAAATATTATATACAAAAATAAAATAATTTAATTACTTATTTTGATAATCTTAAAAGTAAAATTTGTTTGACTTTTGATATTTAAACTTCTTACTAGCAATTAGGATATTTATTTATAACTGCTCATTTTATTGATAATAATTGGGTTATGCAAAAAAGAATTATTACTTTTACAAAGATTGAAGATAATCATAGTGCACAAGTTATTTTTGAAGTTATTTATAATCAAATACAAATTTATCATATTCAAGACAAGATTTTTACTATTAATTTAGATAATGCAACAAATAATAGTGGGGCTGTAAGTCATTTAAAATGTTATTTAACTTTACCATGTGAAGGTACTTTTTTTCATATGAGATGTATGTGTCATATCATAATTCTCATAGTACAAAGTAGTCTCCATGATATTAGATTTGTAATTGATAAAATTATACATATTATTTATCATATAATAGGTTCTAAAAATAGACTTAGGACATTTGAAACTATGTGTAAAAAGAATAATTTAAAATGTAAACAAATACCATATGATGTATAACATAGATGGAACTCCACCTATAAATTGCTAGATGTGGCAGTTAAATATAAAGTTGCCTTAAATAACTATGTTAGTATAGATACTATTGGTTCATTATCGCGTCCCACCAAAGTGGAATGAGATGTCACTGATAAAATGAAAGATTTTTTGAAAGTCTTTTATGAGTCAACTATGACTTTATCTGGTAATTATTATCCAACTATTACACTTGCCTATGTTCATATAGTTAGTATCAGTGATCTTTTTGAATAATATAGTAATGAACCCCAATTTTCTACTATTTTACATGATATGCAATCTAAATTTAATAAATATTTTTCACCACTTCCTATACTTATTGGTTTTGGTATGTTAATTGACCCTCGATTTAAAAAATTTGGCCTTACAAGTGTTTTTATGTCTTTATATGGTAACTTAAATGATGAGCACATGAACCACATGAATAAAATAAATTATTATTTTGAAAATTTTTTTAATAAATATAGTGTAACATTTGGGAATGGTGTTACACTTAATTCCCTCTCAGCTTCTAGTGATATTGTTGGTAGTAGTAACGATAAAAGTAAAACATCTATGCTAGCTTCAATTTTGAATAGAGGAGGTATGTCAACATCTAGGGGGTTAACTGAGCTTCAACAATATTACAATGCTCCAATGGTAGGTGTTGAAGATCCTGATTTTGATATTTTGGCCTGGTGGAAAGGATATGAAAGTAGGTTTCCAATTCTTTCCACCATGGCTCGTGATATACTAACAGTTCCTATGTCGACTGTAGCATCTGAATATGCTTTTAGTACAAATGGACGTGTCATTGATGAACATAGGAGTTGCTTGGATGGAAAGACAGTGGAAGCCCTTATGTGTCTTCAAGATTGGTATGCCGCTGAAGCGAGAGATCAAAATATGAAAATAAATCCCCCAATGCCAGAATTTGAAGTTTTAGAAATTTAGATATTAAAACTGATGTATTTTTTTTCATGTATTAAATATTATAGCTTTTCATGTACAAAAGTCTTTAATGGGTAGAATTGTGCAAATGATAGATTGGTGGGTAGGTGTCAACCTAGTTGGGTTGTACTTATTCTATAGTGATGTTATTTCTCTTCTATTCATAAATAAAATTATTCATTATTTAATTTTGTCCATTTTGATTTTGACTATACTTTTAATTCAAAAATATAATTTACCAAAAAATTAAATAAAGTTGTATATTTTTTCAATAGGGCCCAACAAGCCCGCCCAAAACAGACCCACCTAACAGGCCCAACAAAAGCCCAACCAGAAAGCCCGCCCAATAGGTGATGGGCTGGGTTGCGGGCAGCTTACCCCTACCCGAAGCCCGGCCTGGGCCACCACTCACCCAAGTACGGGCTTGGGCCTCCACTACCCAAGCCTGAGCATGGCTCGGCCCGACCCCCATGGACAGCCCTATTTCTACTTCACAGAATAAGTACTAAGATCGAGCAATTTCAGATGAGTGTAGCTTATGTCGGGAGAAAGGTCAATGGAAATCTCAATGTCCTAAATTGATGAATAAGAATGCTATGGGATCAAAAAATCAACCATCTTAGCCCATAAATTGTCATACATCAATTATGGTTTAAAGTATCAGTCGATGTCGCTATCAGTCGATACTGCTATGAGTTTCATCCGACTCGGCACCTTTCCAAGAAGATATCATTACACTATATGTTTAAACCCCAAGCCTTGCACAACTCTGTCGATTTTTCCAAGTTGTATTCGAGTTAATTCCGAATCACTAAGTTATCGTCATTGAATCAGTCGATAGGTTCCGCGATGTCGCGGTATGACCTGAATCTCTTGTCATGTTCAATATTTTCTTGTAGGGCGTATTGCCCGATATTGCGACATGACGCCTCAACCGATATTTCTCAAAGTTGTTGTTGAGTGCTCATTCTTGCATTATTTTATAGCTAAACATATTCACTTTAGGCTTGATAGTAGACTAACTTACTTTACTTAGTTTATTTTGCGATTCATGCGTTGATTTTGTGTTTGCAGGTAGCCTAAGTGCAAAAGTAGATATGGAGCATCATGATAATGGTTTTGGACAAGTTAGAGATAAGTATGATTGGTTAGAAGTGAAGCCAAAGGTCTTAGATAAGAAATTCAAAAAATATTGGTTCTACCAGTAGGAGGATGCTAGAATGAAGAATCTATCGGTAGAAATTGAGTTATACTGGTAGGAAATAAGACAATTTGTAAGCTACCGGTAGGTAAACTTATATGCTATCAGTAGAAAGGCTTTCTGGAATGAATAGTAAGGTGTTCTACAGGTAGATGAGGGTAGTATCTACCGATAGCAGAGCCCTCCGGAGTAGACAGAATGTTGTTCTACCAATAGGTGGACTTGTATTCTACCAATAAAAGAAGCTACGAAAATTCACCAATCAATGTTGTACCTA